TCGCTATATAAGTGCAATAATCTTGGACGCGACGTTAAACCCCATTTCACCTCACCTCACCTCACCTCAGATAAGTTTGCGCAGGCGGCCAAAAATGGTCCACGACACTGAAACTCGTCCAGGTGTTTCAGGGAGGACTTAAACTGCGGTAACCAAATCCGTGTTGCTTCCTATAAACGATTTTGATGTTCACTGGTAGCTTCACAGAGCTACGGGCTGCCCCATAGTGGGTTTCTAATAGATTGCCACTCATAGATTCACACGCAATCCCGTCCCTGTATTAATGCAGTAACAACCCATTTCACATCACCACTGACCAATGGTTATAATCTGGAACACGCGTTTCCATCAAACTTAAGCACATCGTGTTTACACCTTCGGTGTTGACGTCAGTGATGATTCAGATGCAGATCTGTGCTGTCAGTGCGGTTCACGTGAAGCCGTGTCGGGAAGACGTGATGTGTCACCGTGATCACGTAGGCCGTGTACACGTCGCCATGCCGACCCTGGGGTCACCAACCTGCCTGTTCACCTGCTGAGAGGGGGGCGGGATGCTGGTGCTTGAGTCTGAAGTGTGAGTAAGTCTGTGAATGCTCTGTGAACAAGTGCACTTTTAATCGTTCACATGTTATCATGAGAATACTGTACATATTTCAAACACCACTTGTCAACTGCACTGCTTGTGATGGATCTAGTGTGTCGTACGTTGTGAAGAGAGCGCACACTCAAGCAACTCGTGATGTTGGATGAACAGAAATTGAATGACGTCAGGGATGGGGGGACAGTCGTGTTGACTCGATTATTTATTTATTTATTTATTTATTTATTTATTTATTTATTTATTTATTTATTTATTTATTTATTTATTTATTTATTTATTTATTTATTTATTTGTTGTTTTACGCCACACTATGCAATATTCCAGCTATTTGACGGCGGTCTGTAAATAATCGAGTCTGGACCAGACAATCTAGTGGGAGACGTCATGATCATCTATCCACGAAATTGGGATACGATAACATGCATCAACCAAGTCAGCAAGCCTAATCACCCGATCCCGTTAGTCGCCCCTTACGACAAGCATAGTCGCCTTTTACGGCAGTTGCTGTAGACCTATTCTACCCCGGATCTTCACGGGTCAATAAGTATTGAGTCACCTGAGGTTACCACATTTCTGTCAGACATGGTTGACTAGATTCACCCTGTGTTAACCAGTATTATTAAAATAAAATAGCCAAAATAAAACGCACAACATGCAATCTAAGATATAATACAATTTGGTTGCCTGGAGAAACACAACAGCCACGTGCATAGCTATAACACACAACAATGGGAGGTTAATAAGTATTTCATTGCTAGACAAAGCAGCCAATTGTACCTGATCTATTTAGTCCATGTAAAACGACAAGAACGTTAACAATAACGCATAGTGCAGATATGCAAAGTCAAACAAAGTTGCATTATCTATTTTAAAGTATTGAATTTTTCTGACGCATATTATAATTCATATAGACCAAGTTAATTAGTTAGTTATGCTTTATTCATGATTGAATCAATAAATGAAACATATTTTCTTACCGATGACGTCACTTTGGGGCTGCTAACCGGAGTACCGCACCACAGGGGTTCACAGGGGTTCACAGGGGTTCACAGGGGTTCACTAGGTATGGGCAACCTAGGCCAACCGAAGTATGACATATATCTTTTTAACATATACATGTACTAACATTGGTTAACTAAGGTTAACTTGGGGTATACCTTGGTCAACACGAGATCACATGGTCCGGTGTTCCATACCGAATATAAGCTGTATTGACGTTGTATGTGTAGCTGCTCGCTGACGTTCCACTCAGTCGCAAAGTGTAATTCTAACCAATTCTAACCCGGATCTTCAGGGGTCACCGTATGCGGCGGGACTTGACATTGCACGGTTTTCAGTGAATTCGTACAATATCTCCGCTCCATCAATGCCCATGGTATTATTTTGGTAGCGGAACACGTCGATTCAGCCCAAATCAAAACATTGATAAACAATGAAAACAAAACACAAAACCATTAAAATTCCGGTTTGCAATTTAACTAGAAACTATGTGTCATTTTCTTTCAACGAATATTAAGAAACAAATAAGCTTTGTGCAGAGGAAGGAATTCTCAGAATTTGTTTGAGCCAGTTAGTCTTTGGAAACAAGTCCTTGGAATCAAGCGCAATACAAATAAACTCACATCATTCAAGGGGGCACGGGTGGCCCAGTCGTCTAAGGCGCCGCGATTCTCTGTGCAGAGTTACGTCCCTTGGGCACGACAGAAACCTATGATTGTGGGTTCGAATTCCTGTTCGCTCCGATTATGTTTCTAGGTTTGTCAGCTCCATACCCGTGCTCGTGGGTTTCACCGAAGTGGTAAACGTCTGAGACCTGCATCACTTCGGGCTTTCCTCCCGTATTAAGCTGACACACCGTGATATAAATGGAATACTGTTAAAAGCGGCGTTAAACCCAACTCACTCTGATAAATGTCATTCGTGATAGCGAGTGAACGATTAGCGGGGAGAAGATTCAACACTTCCCCTTATTCAGTGTGTCTATTTTCATGACAAAACATGTTTGGGACAAGCTCTATCAAGTTGTGACGAGTTGCGTCCCTTAGGTTGCGGGATTTGCAGATCCGCAATCTCATTAAAATCAGATCTTAGTTCTCGCTATCGCTAAACAAAGATCTGAGGACATCCCATTAGGGGTCACGTGAGAACGACCTTTCATCCAACCAATCAGAGCGCCGCTTACCAGATCATGAAAGTGACAGTCGGAATGTGATTTCTAATTATGCAGCCTCGAAAACTTTAACTCCGAACGATAGTTACGGGTTTATCGATTGAATCCGTTCTATTTAGACTATCTATTAGCCATTCAAGAATGTTCTTTTGTTCAGGTTTCAAATTTGTAATCGAGAATATGTCAAAATATGTTTCGAAGCGTAGTCGCCAATTTGAAATTAGTGCCGTAAGGCACGAGAAAGCTGCCTTCTGATTGGTCATTCCATTGGTCGGTCAAAGTTTCCGCAAGGTCGGAATGTGTTTTCTAATCATGCTACTACGATATATTTACCGCGGGGTATTCCGAACGACAGTTACAGGTTTTATTATTATATCCATACAATCTATGCCATCTATAAGCCATTCCAGAATGTTCTTCTTATCAGCTTTAAAATTTTAATCGAGAATACGTCAAAATATGTTTCGAAGGTAGTCGCCAGTTTGAAACTAGTGTCGTAAAGCTCGAGAAAGCTGCCTTCTGATTGGCCAATGTCGATTTCTTGTCAGTCATTACATTGGTCGGTCAAAATTCGCGAAAGGTCGTTCTGACGTGACCCGAAATGGGATGTCCTCAGATCTTTGTTTAGCGAAAACTAAGGTCTGATTTTAATGAGATTGGCAGATTTGCCAGCGCAATGTCGCTGTGGAAAAGCGATCAATACTGTTTATGTTGATTTGACAGAGTTTGCCTTTGTCCCTTTGATGACATGATGCGCTAGTCTGTTCTTATCCTAGATTTGCCTCCATAGTAATACCCCATAAAGTTCACATGCGCCTCTATATATATGTGCGTATATGTGCATAAGTGTGTAGAAATACATACGTGAGGATACTTGTCATGTGAACGCGTTTACTAATGTGTGTATATTTACACCTGGAGCAAATTTGCATCATGTCTGGAGCAGGTGCAAATGTAAAATAATGTAAATTTGCACTATGTGTATATGTTGCAATGTGAACGTTTATGTCAACGGAAGAGGGTGATCTAATTAATATCTGTTCTTTTGCCAACACCAAACAAATTGTCAACAGTTGCAAACTTTTATGCGAATATACAGAGTTGAGCGGACGGTGTTTTCTTTTGGTTTCAAGGAGTCAAAACTATGTGTACAAACTAAATCAAACACATGTTGCTTTATGCGAAAATTTTCGGTGAAGTAACTCTCTTCTCATTCAACTTTGATTGGAAAACAATCTGTTTTGTGTTGAAAGTCGTGAACAGACTGACGTATATGTGTACCTTACACAAATAACTATATTTACACATCTTAGATGCTTTTCATGTGAACGCACAGTAAATTTACATATACGCAAGTATGTATGGTTACACCTGTGCAAAATTACTTACGTTAGTAAATGTTGTGCATGTGAACGAGGTATAAGTGAGTTTGGTTTTACGCCGCTTTTAGCAATATTCCCATGCACATGCACCTCTATACACATGTGTGTATATTTGCTGTGTGAGTATACTTCTCATGTGAACGCGTTTACTCATGTGTGTATATTTACACCAGGAGCAGATTTACATCGTGTCTGAAGCAGGTGCAACAGTAAATGTAAATTTGTCTGTATGTATTATGTTGTCATGTGAATGTTTATGCCAACGTCAGAGGATGATCTAATTATAATATCTGTTGATTTGCCAACACCATGCGAATTGTCAACAGTTCTGTATTCTATTCAGTGTACAGCAATAAAAAAACATTTATGCGGATATCCAGAGCTGGGCAGACTGTTTTCTTTTGGTTTCAAGGAGTCTATGCTTGTCCTTCAAAGGTGACTAACAGGATCGGGTGGTCAGGCTCGCTGACTTGGTTGATACATGTCATCGATTCCAATTGCGGGGATCGATGCTCATGATGTCAATCACTGGACTGTCTTGACCAGACTCGATTATTTTACAGACCGCCGTCATATAGCTGTAATATTGCTGAGTGCGGCGTTAAACAACAAACAAACAAACAAACAAAAGCATAGTACATTTACATATACACACGTATGTACAGTTACACAGGTGCAAAATTAACTACGTGAGTAAATGTTGTGCATGTTAACAGGGCATTAGGCATGAAAAGCCAACGCCTTAACCACCATTCTACAACAGCACCAATACGCTTCAAAAATGGGCCAAGCGTCCAATGCTCCTCGTGTAATTTAACGGCCGCGGCAAAATGAAAACAACACGTGATGAATCTCTCCGCTTTATTTCAGCAAGGCAAACCAATACATTGCATTTTTTATTGTGCAAAAGTGTGCAAAATATTAGAAAACTGTACGTTTTGGTGCGTGCTTCTTAACATGGATTCCGTGAAAGATCAACAAATAGAGTAGTCAACAAATTTAGGCACCACTGTTGAGGGTATTGCATGACATCAACTCACTGTCAGTATAACAAACAGTTTGACTTCTTACTTGGAATTGTTACTGTAAGTATATTTACACATGCCGTATATTATGCAAGTCATTCACAAAAGTGTGTTTTATCACATTATGCCGCAATTGAACATTTTCAAGAAACTTGACATAAACACCATGACAGCAAAAACAACCTTGAAACGGAAGGAAAGGCAGATTGAAAAGACACTGCACGAGAAGCATGTAGTGCACGTGCAAATCATGCTGTCGCCAGAGGACATAAACTGTCAGGCTGTTTCGTGCATGTGGTACGTATTGGTAAGATTATGCAGATGAAATCACAAACATAGGTTCAGATAATTATTATATAAATAACGTCACATACATCTATGTTTTATTACTTAAATAATTAATCTGATGAACTAAGCTAAAACGAAAACTGTGAAAGTGAGTGAGTTTGGTTTTACGCCGCTAAGCGACAGCTTATCCATATTAAGGTCTGGGTTGGGTTTCACAACTGTAGCAAGGTGGGGAATCGAATTCGGTCCTTCTGTGTGACACTTTAGACACAAGTCTACCACATCTCCCAATTGTCTTTTAAAGCGTCACACGGTATGAAATATTTTGATAAATATATTTTGTTTATCTCACGCCTTTGATTATTGTTTATCTTTATTAAGCGACCACTTGCAAAAGAAGGCGGTCTGAATGTGTGAAGGGCTCAGTAAATTCGAACTCAAGTGGTCTCGTAGTGCAATCTGTTTGTTATAATGTATCGCCACTAAATAGTTTATGACCGATTAACACATTCACTTTTAGTTCATCGGTGAATAATCTCTCCACTAATTCACTCCAGTTTTAACAATTTGTTTTTTTTACATTATTGACTAGTTCGATAATTTCATGGCAAGGGAGACACATTAGAGAATATGTAATAGAGAGGAAAATAATATACACGTTGCAATACACAAAAACGTTATATTCACAACGGTCACTGATCTCAAATAGTTCTCGTCGCTAGGTGGAGCTTACTATTTTCCTTCATTCAGCCCGCCATATTGTCTTGGGATTTGGGCCAAATCGTCACATCTGTTCGTCTCCACGCTGAAGATGCGTGGTTGACCGGACCTACTGGACGCGCATGAGCCAGAATACAATGTCCTCTGATTCTTGCATTCGGCGAAGTATGGGGTCCAGCTCCGTCCCTCCCACGGCTGGACACCGTCCGGCTTGTCGGCGCAGCTGGCGTAGCGATACACACAGGGCTTGCAGTGCGCACTCCGTCCACAGAGGTTCCGCGCATACTGGCCTGCAATGCAAAATAGTGAGAGAGTGAGTATGGTTTAACGTCGCTTTAATTAATATTCCAGCAATATCTCGGCAGGGGACACCATAAATTGGGCTTCAGATATTGTACTAATGTGAATATCGAACCTGGTCCTTTGGTGTGACAAGCGAACGCTTTAACCACAAGACTACCCCACCTAACCTTCAATATTGTCCAGTCAGGTGGAAGCTGAGACAACAAAACTTAACGTCGAGGGGAATGTCTGAGTAACTCTCCATTCCTTCAAAATAATGGAGCAGAGGCCCCGCAGGGGCCGAGGCCGTGTGTATATGTTGCAATGTGAACGTTTATGTCAACGTAAGAGGGTGACCTAATTAATATCTGTTCTTTTGCCAACACCAAACAAATTGTCAACAGTTGCCAACTTTTATGCGAATATACAGAGTTAATTAGCGGAAGGTGTTTTCTTTTGGTTTCAAGGAGTCAAAACTTTGTGTACAAATTAAATTAATCACATGTTGCTTCACGCGAATTTTTTCGGTGAAGTAACTCTCTTCTCATTCAACTTTGATTGGAAAACAACCTGTTTTGTGTTGAAAGTAGTGAACAGACTGACGAATATGTGTGCCTTACACAATTTACATACTTTATTAACACACCTTAGATGCTTTTCATATGAACACATAGTAAATTTACATATACGCACGTATGTATAGTTACACGTGTGTAAAATTACTTTTAAAATAACGTTAGTAAATGCTGTGCATATGAACGGGGTATTAGTCACGAACTGAGGCGCCTCAGGCGACTGGACTGCCCGCGCCCATAATGATATGAAAAAAATACCGATGGCTGTTGAAAGTAGTTTACAATTCGCTTTATCCACAATTTCCCCTTGTTTCAGAAGCCATGCATGTGGAAGTCAACGGAGAAGATGTTTGGCATTGAGACGTTGGTAGAACGTAAAGGCGAGAAAGGTTTAAGAAGTGTCACGTTTCCATAAAAATGTTCACATCTTCATTCAGAACAGGGGAGCAATGGCGGCCCAGTCGTCTAAGGCACCGCGATTCTCTGTGCAGAGTTACGTCCCTTGGGCACGCCAGAAACCTATGATTGTGGGTTCGAATCCCGGTTCGCCCCGATTATGTTTCTAGGTTTGACAGCACCTGTGGGTTTCACCTGTGGGCTGCTTGTACTAGTCCGGACTGATGTCGATTTATAGTGCTAGCACACTGTGATATCATGCCGCAGTTCAACATAGATACCCCACTCAGACACAGTATACTGACTTCGAGCCGACCAGTCCTTGTTTTAGCCCTTTAATGCCGAGCGTCAGACAGGGTAACAACAAGTACCATCTTTTAACGTCTTTTGGTATGACGCGGTCGGGGATCGAACCCCGGACCTCCCGCTCTCCGGGCGGACGCTCTACTTCTAGACCACGGAGGCGGTTTCCACCCCTATGAACAACAGTTACTACAATTTAATGGTAAACTTGCTTTCAACAATTGTAATACTGACGGTGGACGCTGTAATATAGTCCTCGCCACTTGAAACAGAATCACGAAATATCGCGATGTTGAAGTGATGAAGATAAGGAATACAGTAATTTTAGTAATGACAAAAATGGCAATTTTCAAAACATATTCTTTTTGATAGCAATAAACTCATCATTGAGTTTTGATCACGTTGGTACAATTCGGGTAAGAATCGGCATTCAGGTGACTGCGAGCGGTTATATTTAGCAGTGAACTTGGTCAATAGACCTTTAAATACTACATCTGCTAGTGTTTTCTTTCGGTTCGGTCTGGAAATGTACGTACGCTGCACATGCTGTTAAACATAGCCGAAATATAGTCACCTGAGCTTACCCGGAAAGTAATCCCTCACCCGTCCTTCCCTACTTCCCCCCCCCCCCCCCCCCCCCATGTGACGGGTGTGTGATCAGTGTGGAGGGTGTTGACATGAGAGACCCCCCCCCCCCCCCCCCCCCCCCAACTCACATGGTTCTCTGGGTTCCTGCTTGCCACCACAGGACACGCGGGTGAAGTCATCACATTCCCCAGTGACGCCGTTAAAATAGCTTGGGTATTCACACTCCCCAGCATACGCCGGCATGTTGTCGTAGATGTCGTCGTCCACAGTCTTGGAGCAGTTGATGTAGGTGGCACAGTTGGTTGGGGAGGCAAAGAGGCACGCACGTCCGTTTCTCTCGGCCCGACATCTCTCACACAGACGGATGATGTCAGAGTCAGTCTGCACTGTAAGAATATAGATCATGATTATGTAATAGTGACGAGCGAACGCTTTAACCACCAGACTACCCCAACGCTCATGCAATAAACTTGTAGTCCAGTCAGATGGTAGAGGAATAAAGAAAGCTTTGCCTTCAACAAACCAACTGGTGAATTTACGACAGGTTGAAAATAGAAGATGGGAGCAGTGAATTATATTCCTGTTGAACTTGTCAAGCAGCATTCAATATTGCGAGTGAATTGGGTTTAACGCCGCTTTGAACAGTATTCCAGTTATATCACAGCGTGTCAGCTTAATGTGGGAGGAAAGCCCGAAGTGATACAGGTCTTAGACGATTACCACTTCGGTGAAACCCACGAGCACGGGTATGGTGCTGACAAACATTGAAACATAATCAGGGCGAACCCGCGATTACAGGTTTCTCGCATGCCCAAGGGACGCAACTCTGCATAGCAAATTCCAGAGCCTCAGACGACTTACCCACAACGTGGTCCAGATATGGTCCAAGACGTTTACCACTTTGGTGAAACCACGAGCACGGATGTATTGCCAACACACTTACAAACATAATCAGGGGGTGATATATCAAATAATGCCACATATAAGGCCAGTTTCTTTTTTGAGGAAGAAATCTGCCAAAACCACGCATCAGTACTATCAACATTTGGCTTGATTCCAAAACCTCAACATGTCCATTCCTCTTTTGTACTGGATTCCAAAGCTCCATAAACATCCGTACAGAGAGACATAAATTGCTTTGTCCAGCACGTGTACCACCAATTCCCAGTCTCAACCATAGTCCTTAACACAATCAAGGAAGGACTTTCTTTTTATTCACAGAAAATAATTGAGATAAGTGGAATTGATACCATATGGATTCTCAAAAACTCAAAGGATAAATTGACTTTTTACAATCTCAGAAAAGAAACAAGTTCATTTCTGTCAAGACATTTGATTTTTCAACTTTGTACACCACTTTCCCACTATCTTCCCGAGGCAAAGGAGTTAACTGACTATAAAAGTCCAGTTTCCACCCTTGCCGAACTAGGCTGGTATTATGGAGTTACGTTTTGTCTGGACTGACGAGTCTGTGCATAGTTCAATCAAAATCGCGCACCGAAATCGAAATCCGGTTCGTAAACTGTCGTGCAGATTTCGATCGATTTCAGGATTTGCAAAGCATGTGCATCGCCAATTCGTTGTCAGCAGACATTTTCCAAATCCGTTCATGTTTTTAATCAAGGTGCTCACGTGATTTGATGCATTTCGCGATGTAAGACCCGTTTTATCACAATATAGATCTTGATTATCGATCAGATCGTCCTGACTGGGCGCAACCTTTTTGTGTGAAGCAAACGCAAGTGATACGAGAGGTGGAATCTGATTGGTCCATAGGAGAGGCTAAGAAGGGACATAATTGGTAATAGCCACTGGGGGCGCAACGGTCGAGCCCAGTAATTCAAGCCTAGTTCGGCAAGGGTGGAGCTGGACTTTTAAAGTCAGTTAACTCTCTTGGCTCGGGAAGATGCTTTCCCGCATGATAAGCTTCATTCCTTGATCCCTGCGGCTTTTGTGAAATGATGAACTTCCTCACTGATAACATCCATGTAAACTTTGGGGGAATACATTTAGGCAAGAAGTAGGCATCCCCACTGGTACACATTGTACCCCGCTTCTCGATGATCTGTTTCTTTATGCATATGAATCGGCATTTCAGCACGGATTGGCAAAGTAAAAACAAAGTAATTTGGCCAAGAAGTTTAACTTTTATCAGGTTTTGCGATGATCTGATATCGTTCAATAACCATCAAACTGCCTCATTTGTTTCATATTTAGATCTTTGATCCACAAAACTGTATGATAAGAGCGATGACTTCAACTTTCCAATAGTCAATCTTATTAAAATCGGACCTTAGTTCTCGCTATCGCTAAACAAAGATCTGAAGACATCCCATTAGGGGTCACGTCAGAACGACCTTTCATCCGAGCAATCAGAGCGTCGCTTACCAGATTATGAAAGTGACAGTCGGAATGTGATTTCTAATCATGCAACCTCGAAAACTTTAACACGGGGTATTCCGAACGATAGTTACGAGTTGAACGAGTGAATCCATACGATCTAAACCATCTATTAGCCATTCCAGAATGTTCTTTTGTTCAGGTTTCAAGTTTGTAATCGAGAATTTGTCAAATATGTTTCGAAGCGTAGTCGCCAATTTGAAATTAGTGAAATTAAGCACAAGAAAGCTGCCTTCTGATTGGCCATTCCATTGGTCGGTGAAAGTTCGCGCAAGGTCGGTCTGACGTGACCCGTAATGGGATGTCCTCAGATCTTTGTTTAGCCGTAGCGAGAACTTAGATCTGATTTTAATGAGATTGTCCAATAGTCAACTTTCCCTTCACGTAGAGCAATATTCCTGCAGTTCCAGCCCTTGGTGTCCACATTTCACAACTTTTAAGATACAATTGAGCATGCTCTTTCTTCCAAGATTTCAAAGGGATTTCTTGCTCAGAGGTTGTTTGGTCAAGGTTACAACACACAAGGCCTCAGTAAAGCTTTCAAAACGTTTTATGGTAGACGTGTCCATGACGTTTTCAAATTCGACGCATCCGCTACAAATCCCGGTTTTTACTTGTACCATATGTTCCGGTATTTTCCCAGGTGAACAGACCGCCTCCGTGGTATAATGGTAGAGCGTCCGCCCGGAGAGCGGAAGGTCCGGGGTTCGATCCCAAGCCGCGTCATACCAAAAGACGTTAAAAGATGGTACTTGTTGTTACCATGTCTGGCGCTCGGCATTTAAGGGCTAAAACAAGGACTGGTCGGCTCGGAGTGAGTATACTGTGTCTGGGTGGGGCATTCATGTTAAACTGCGGCATGGTATCTCAGTGAGCTAGCACTATAAATCAGCATCAGTCCGGACTAGTACAAGCAGCCACACACACACACAGCGTCGTGCATGCACGTCGCTATATAAGTGCAATAATCTTCGACGCGACGTTAAACCCCATTTCACCTCACCTCGCCTCACCACCCAGGTGAACAACTGACTTGCCTTTGTATGTGTTTGTGACGGGTGCCAAAAATAGGATACGATCACCTGGTATCGTCACTATTTGATTGTGATTCATTAACACATGCTTATGATATAGTCGGTATCGTACAATCGAATCTGCTTTCGGCAGAGGTTTCTTATGAATGTGGAAAGGGTTTTGTCGTTTTTATTAATTTACCTGCATCACTGTAGACTTCTCTCACATTAAGCCACGTGATTGAAACATTGATTCCAAACCAAAATCACGTCTTCTAAATGTTCGATGATTATATGTTAAACATTGAGTGTATACACGATGTGTGCCATGTCGCCTTTTTCTAAGGCCATGAGGGGGCACGAGTTGCGTCCCTTAGACGTGCAAGAATCGAATGATCGTCGGCTCGAATCTCATATTGGCTCTGATTATGGTTTTTGGTTTGTCAGAACCATACCGGTTCCCGTGAGTTCCGCCAACTGATGGTCTAAATTGAGTCACGTGGGTTCTCCTCCAATATAAAACAAAATATCTGAAAAAGTATTCATTGTCGTGTAAAGATTAACTCCAAGTATCCCGTAATTCAGCCGATGGATGGGGAAACAATACTTCACGATTGTACAGGTTAAAAAACTCGGCTTTTAATTGGACGCCAGGACTTCTTTTCATTCGTTCGTTCTTTCAGTGTACCATCCACGTGCTGATATGGAATGAGACGTCGCATAATTCTGGATTCTGATTCCGAAAACTAGTAAAGAACTTTGTATATATTCCCGCATATCCATCCATCCATCCATCCATCCATCATCCAGTGGTGGTGAGGGTTGGGGTAGCCTAGTGGTTAAAGTGTTCGCTCGTCACGCCGAAGACCCGGGTTCGATTCGATACAATGTGTGAAACCCATTTCTGGTGTCCCCCGCCGTGATATTGCTGGAATATTGCTAAAAGCGGGGTAAAACATACTCACTCACTCCAGTGGTGGTATGCATGTCAGACATCAACTTGTTCATGTTCGAAAACTTTAAAATAGCTAACTGAGCCGTTGTAACGTTACGTAAACAGTTGTGACCCACTTTAACTAACATTCTAGCACTCGCCGATGTTGACTTATAAAAATTTTAACTTGTATTTGTTAAAGTTAGTGAATTTAATGCAACAGCACGTTTCATGTTGTTTTTTGTACAAACGTAAGTGATACGTATATGCTAAATGTGAATGCTATTAGCGAGCTTTTTTTGCACAACCCGGTCGATCGATGATGTTTGTTTGTTTGTTGTTTAAAGCTGAACTCAGCAATATTCCAGCTATATGACGGGTCTGTAATAATCGAGTATGGGCCAGACCATCCAGTGATTGACATCATGAGCATCGATCTACGCAATTGGGATACGATGAAATGCATCAACCAAGTCAGCAAGCCTATTAGTCGCCTCTTACGACAATCATAATCACCACTTATGTACCTATTCTCTACCCGGATCGTCACACGTCTCGATCGATGGTGCGTCTGTTTGCATGAAAATGACTTCCTTCGTCATCAACAGACTCACATGTTTCTAGCGAAGGGTCGCGCATGGGAGAGTCGCCGTTTGATTGAACCCAGCAAAGATCAAGTGCAGAGTAGACCGTCTATCCCCTGTCAAGAGGGTGGGTTCAACGCTATGCTGGTGACGCTTGGCAGACGGATTTAGATGAGTGTTGGAAACGACGCGGCTGACACGAATGTAAAGATGACGTAGACATGTCAACCTGTAGTTGCTGTAAAGCGTGTCAGCGTCTGGAATGTTTCAGGAGAAAGCGACGAGACCTAAAATGTAACCTTTAGGTGAAAAAACTTCACAGTCAATCGAGAAATACTGTTGACACAATTTTAGTTTCAAAGCCACGGCGAAAAGCCGGTGAGTGACCGAGGATGGTTTTACGCTGCTTTTAGCAATATTCCAGCAATCTCACAACGGGGAGACGACCGAAATTGGTTTCACGCGTACGTTGGGAATTAAACTCAGGTTTTCGGGGCGACGAACGAATACTTTAACCACTGGGCTATCAACCAGGAACACCAGGATTCGATACCCTGCATTGGTACCATGTGTGAAGACCATTTCTGGTGTCCCTGGTGTGATATTGCTGGTGTGTTGATGGTATGTTGCTGGAGTGAGTGAGTTGGGTTTAACGCCGCTTTTAACAGTATTCCAGTTATATCACGGTGTGTCAGCTTAATGTGGGAGGAAAGCCCGAAGTGATGCAGGTCTCAGACGTTTACCACTTCGGTGAAACCCACGAGCACGGGTATGGTGCTGACAAACATTGAAACATAATCGGGGCGAACAGGGATTCGAACCCACACTCATAGGTTTCTGGCGTGCCCAAGGGACGCATCTCTGCACAGCGAATCGCGGCGCCTTAGACGACTGGGCCACCCGTGCCCCCGAATGTTGCTGGAATATTGCTGGTATGTTCTTGGTATGTTCTTGGTATATTGCTGGTTTGTTCTTGGTATATTGCTGGTTTGTTCATGGTATATTGCTGGTATGTTCTTGGTATATTGCTGGTATGTTCTTGGTATATTGCCGGTATGTTCTTGGTATATTGCTGGTATATTGCTGGTATGTAAGAGCGGTGTTTGACCAGCTCAATCTCATGGGTTTAACTTAAGTGGGAGTACCAGAAACCTACGATCGTGGGTCGAGTCCTGGTTCGCCCTGATTATGTTTCTAAGTTTGTCAACACAATAACCGTGCTCGTGGGTTTCACCGAAGTGGTAAACGTCTGAGACCTGCATCACTTCGAGCTTTCCCGTATCAAGCTGACACGCGGTCATATTACCAAACTGACGTTAAACCCAACTCACTCACTCTCCAATTCTATCACGGGTGGTGTTGCTCACGTTCTAAAAAATATTCAATTATTTGTTTTTTAAATATCTTTATCGGGGGGGCCATAGCTATTTTTAAGGATTTCAGCTCGGAAAAAAAGATTGTTTCCGAGCCTAGCTCTAACTTCCTTAGGCATATCTATGAAGCTGTTTGTGCCATCATACTATACAAGAACTTTGACTTTCGCCTTTATTTATAACTGGCTTCCAAACTCACCACATAAAGCCGTTAAAAGCTCCTGTCGTACGTTGTACCAATTTCATAATCATGGATGTCGTAAAAAACAGTGTAAAAGTAATATTAAATGAACTTCAAGAATTCCATATGTGAATGTTGAAGAAAAAAGAAAATAATACATACAGGCTGGAACTATACATTTACATACATGTTTTGTAAATAACTGAAAAAGACGTTGATATTTTAATCAAAATTAAATTATTGTAAATAAGTTTAGAACGTATTCTAGGACACTCCTTCATTTTCACGTTGTGAACGTTTTCAAAGTTATTTGTTTGTGCAGAACTTATTTCGAACTCCTCGTGAATAAATCGGTGAGTGAGTATCTGTTTACGCCGCTTTTAGCAATATCTTTGCAATATTATAGTGAGTTAGTAAATATGGTTTTACGCCGCTTTTAGCAATACTAGTATTCCAGCAATATCACGGCGGAAATGGTCTTCACACATTACCCATGTCGGGAATCGAACCCGTGTCTTCGGCGTGACGAGCGAACGCTTTAACCACTAGGCTACCCCACCGCCCCGCAAAGTGATAGAGGGGAGCACGAAGAATAAGCTTTATAAACACATTCTCCAACACTCACCTATAGGACACTGTGTGTTCCTGATATCGTCTTGGTCGACGCACGTCTTTGAAACTGGAGAGAACACCCGTTCATTTGGACACGGGAAATCTCGGCGGAAAGAGCCGATGGATAAGGTAAAATGGGTACAATTTCCGGGAATTGCCGAAAACCAATCTCGAAAGTCGTTTTGACCAACACACACCGCCGCCAACATGCACAGCACCGCTGCCGTCGCTGTAACACCCGACATCATGTACGGAGAATATGGGCACGTGTATCCTCCACGAGACTTTCAAGGTGTAATGTCCGGATGAGCAATAATGATCGCTCTGCGGATTTCTTTAAAGTAACCTTTTTTCGTGTGTAGTGCTGGATTTAAACGTGATGCTATACCAACGCCCTCTATTGTTCACGGGCACTACGTCACGTGGCCTGGGACGTCAGACTCCGTGTAACCATTGAGAGAAACGTGATGGACGAGACCGCAGTACAAATATATAGGAGTGTGCGAATACAAAGTACGTCTGTCGTGTGTAATCACTTGTTTAATTGGACTTCTTGTGTTTGCTACAGTAGAAAGTACACAAAGTTTTACATAGTAAACCAAGGCGATTAGGAGTGAATTAGAACCTGTGTTTTGATTGGATGGAATTGCCGTGTTGTGCGTGTTAAGTGGATCCCGATTGGAAGAAAATACGGTCTACGAATCGTGTGTTGTTTAAACAAGTTTCTGGAATTAGATTCACCTGTCTTAGTGTGGACGCATATCGGGTGCGCTAGGTTGTCCGGTTTACCTGTAGCGTTTGTATAAGGCTAATTTGTGACATTTGGCGTTTGTGGATGAAAATCGTACACTGCCGACAGAACCGAGGTGTTTGTCACGCATGCGCAAATGTATATCCGGGATGCACATGAGGAGTGCACTGCATGGCCCTGAGCGTCCCGACACAGTTGTCTTAAGCCCTCAGAATTTAAGCAAAACATGTCAACAAAACAGTGAGTGAGTGAGTGAGTGGTGGGAGGCAGGTTGAGTGAGTGACTGAGAGAGCGATCGCTTTAACAACTAGGTTACCCGACCTTTCTTGAAGTGAGTGGGTGGTGGGTGGGTGGTGTTTGGGAGGTTGAGTGAGTGAGTGAGTCCTTTGATCACGTGGACGTGAGTGAGTGAGTGGGTAAATTAGTGAGTCCTTTGGTCACTTGGACGCACCCACCGATGGAGCGTCAGTAAATGCCGAAACAGCACAAAACCTAAAATATATATACGCTGTAAAAACAGTTAAACTCTTTCCAATATCCAACGCAAACCAGGAGCCAGCACCTCAAAGCGATCTTAGTGCTAAGATGGTCGTCAATCCCATACACAGACTTACGACACTCGCAGCACTAAGATCGCTCGTGGAACAAAAGCCCAGTGCAGCACTTTCATTAACAGCGCTTCAGGCGCAAAGGTAATAGAAACATGATGAGTCAAATCAAACCTTCACGTGCGAGTGAAAATAGAACCATTACTGGTTAAAAACATTTCTATTTCCAAAACAGACACGGGTTTTTTATGATTGATTGCTCTTGTACGTCTTAAATAGTTTTGTAGCTTGCAATTCCTTTGCGTGACGTCTTGATAGTTTTTTTCTGCTGTCAATCAACAAAACAACTTTTGTTCTCGGTATGCCCACTGCAGATATGAAAACGACATTCCATCACCTGTCAGACGAAACCTGTTGACCCGTGAAGACCCGTGAAGACGCGGTCTTCAGCAACCCATTCTTGCTGTAAAAGGCGACTATGCTTGTCGTAAAAGGCAACTAACGGGATCGGGTGGTCAGACTCGCTGTATGCATGCCAATTGCTCGGATCGATGCTCATGATATCAATCACTGGATTGTCTGGTCAGGACTCTATTTTTTACAGACCGCTGTCATATAGCTGGTATATTTCTGAGTGCGGCGTTAAATAACAAACGAACGAAGGAAACCTGAAGGATTAGAAAACTCTTACACTACGGGTATGTGGCTGACATTTCAAGAAAAAGACTTTATTTGAAACTCCGGTTTTCCTGGTTAGAAAGGTAACAAGTAAGAGGAGACTGTATGGTTAGGTGGTTTCAGATATTAGCGTGTCGTTGCTCAATATACATCCCTCACTGGGTTGTCTGATCCAGACTCAATTATTTACACGCCGTCGACGTCAGGCTGGAATGGCGAGGAGTGTGGCGTTGGATAAACAAATAAACAAACAAACCAAATCATTTGCGACAGTGTGGAAGGGGCGTGGTTCGGTGTATGATCTACGACATGTTGATGAAGACATACCCGCGGTGAGGTAGCTCAGTGATTGAAGGGTTCGCTTGTCATAAAATTCACCTCAATAACATAACACAAAATTCACCTTTTATCACATAACACAACATTAACATCCTATCACATAACACAACGTTCACCTCAATAACATAACACAACATTCACCTCCAATAACATAACACAAACTTTCACCTCCTATCACATAACACAACATTCACCCAAATAACATAACACACAACTTTCACTTCCAATAACATACCACAGCATTCACCTCCTATCACATAACACAACATTCACCCCAATAACATAACACAACTTTCATCTCCAATAACATAACACAACATTAACCTCCAATCACGTAAGGACATTTCCTTTTGAGAAATTAGTTATTTTCACTAATGAAAGCACATAACTTCATTCAACAATCTTAGCTTAATTATGAATAATGAAGGATTCATTTCGCGACCTTTGCAACATCTAATTTAAGCCGATAACCCTGTCGGGGATGTCCCTGTTGTTTCTCATCCAATATTATCGCAAGGGACAGGCGGTCCAGGGGCTAAAGCGTTCGCTCTAGTTCCATAACCATATAGGAACAATGTGTGGAGCCTGTGTTTCCCCAGTCGTGATTCGAGCACATTGCTGAAACCATACTCCTATTGCTGAAACCATACACCTATTGCTGAAACCATACTCCTATTGCTGAAACCATACTCCTATTGCTGAAACCATACTCCTATTGCTGAAACCATATCCCTATTGCTGAAACCATACTCCTATTGCTGAAACCATACCCCTATTGCTGAAACCAAACTCCTATTGCTGAAACCATACTCCTATTGCCGAAACCATACTCCTATTGCTGAAACCATACTCCTATTGCTGAAACCATACTCCTATTGCTGAAACTATACACCTTTTGCTGAAACCATACTCCTATTGCTGAAACCATACTCCTATTGCTGAAACCATACTCCTATTGCTGAAACCACACTCCTATTGCTGAAACCATACTCCTATTGCTGAAACCATACTCCCATTGCTGAAACCATACTCCTATTGCTGAAACCATACTCCTATTGCTGAAACCACACTCCTATTGCTGAAACCATACTCCTATTGCTGAAACCACACTCCTATTGCTGAAACCATACTCCTATTGCTGAAACCATACTCCTAATATTCCTGAAACCATACTCGTCACTCAAAAGAAATTACAAATCCAGTGATAATGGCGTTTCAGTGGTTGAATGATCAAGTTAGCTCGCTGTTTCATCCTACAAAGGCCACATATGGGGGCGAGGGGGCTGGCAAAACGGTTACAAATAAACATAAACAAACATGTTGTCGTGCGTGACTTGTAAGCGGTTTTCTGGCTCAGTACACAAAACCTGCGTTGATATAACGGTGTTACTTTCAAAGACGGGTAGGAATAGGTGCACAGGTAATGACTGATCAGGTCCCACTGATCGCTCTTACAGACCCCAGAACATGTACCGTATTCGACGTAATAAGCAACCCGCTTTAATAAGCGCCCACGGCGAGATTTGCTAATAAATTGGCTAGTGAAAAATCCCAATTAGCACCCCTTCCGACCCCAATTCGCGTATAATACGCACTCGTGTGTTATATGCACCCTTTATTATTGGCAATTAAATTCTGGAAACATATATTTGTCGTACATAAACATTTCAGGCTGTCAGCATAAATCACGAAATTTATCTTTCAACTACACCAAAATAATATTCAATTAAGAGCCCCCTATTTCTAGTTTTGAGAGCGCCCTGGGCTCTTATTACGTCGAATACGGTATTTATAAAACATTCACCTCTCATCCACTCTTGAATATGATGTTACAAATATCAATATCAGAGAATGATGAAAATTTATATATGTTTGTTGAGATTGTATGAACTGCCCTTTCGATGTAATATTAGATTTAAAGAAGTTATAACTGTAAACCGAATTTGTTGAATGTGTTATGCTGATTGCATTGAAGATGGACTCCATTGCATATTTGATTGCGATGCATATGATTCGTCGAGAAATAAGTATATACCGAATTGAATTTGTTCATGAAATACCAGTAAATTTCAAGCAATTATGACTTCCTATGATGAGTCAATCCATAATTAATGTTCTAAGTTTCATAAAGAAGTCCTGTAATGTAAATCAATCAAGTCCACGTTAGTCCAACATATATAATATATATATTATTATTATAACTTTGAACATCGACCGATGACCTACCAACAGAAATATACCACTATACCTTGAATTATTTTTATTTGACCATATACATAACTTTCAAGGATTATCTGTTAATCTAGAGGTAGTCCATATTTAAGGAGGTACTACGGTTGCTTTTCCCGATATTGTTGTGGTATTACAATAATTGATATTACAAGTATGGTGGGTATATCATTAATAATATATAATGTATGAATCTGACCATTAATTGTTCCACGTGACTATCGTTGTGTGGCAGTAGATATATTGTGACTTTATTTGTGATAAGTCTTAGTGCCAGCATCTTAAGGCACTCGTAAATTAGAGTGACCTCCCTTAGATGTTTTACAGTCCAAACTCCGTCACAGCGCTTTACATCTTCGTTCCCCTCCCGATATCGATAGCTCCTTTGTGAGAGACTTGTTAACAGTCGTCGATTAACTTACGGGAATGACTACCTCTAGTGCTATATTCACCCAACACAACATTCACCTGCACCATCCGTTACACAACACAACAGCAATAACACAAGTACATCCGACACAAATGTGTTAAAGTTCCTTGTAGCTTGTCATCCGATATTTCCGCATGGGACAGGACGAAATGCATGTCATATTTTCCTATACCCTTGAAATACAAAAACATCTTTTAAAAAGATTAATCGACTTTAAAATCTGATGTTTGTGTCTTGAGCAGACTGACGGACGTCCCTTGGTGTACAGTATAGGGTTGTTACAATACTTTTTCTGTTCATGGTTTTGAGTGATACTGACGTCAAGCCAATACCTCGTTATACCAGCACCCCTGACCACTTTATCGGATACACTGAATCAGTTCTCATACAACACTTAAAGCAAATGTCATCCAGTGGGGAGGTATCCCCCACGAACAGCCACGCTCTGACCTTTA